GCTGAAGAGAAAAAAAGAAGAAAGGATGTACTGGACTCCAGGGAAATGGGAGCTGAGGGCAGTTCACTGGCTGCCTCCAGAAATGCCACGCTTGTGTGCTGCTTAAACTCAGTTGGGATGTGGATGAAAACAGCAAAGACTTTGCTGGAAAAGAAAACAGCTGCCTTTCCAGCTCCCAGCCACCCACGACGTGCAGGACATGTCCCTGTCTTTAGAAAACACGGTATACTCCTGAGAGGCAGCTCCAGAAGCACCCAGGGCTGGGGAGCCTTGGGATAGAGCATCTATTAACAAACAGCCTACGAGTAAGCAGAGTGCTCTGCAAAACAAAGCTGGGGTCTGCCAAGGACCCAGCACTCTCACTGAGGGCTTTGGGGAAGCATGGGCAATTAAGAATGATTTTTCCCTTGTTTGCTTGTGTCTATCTGCTTCATGCTGAAAGCTTTGGCCAGAGAGAAATGCAAGGACACGCAGAGAAAAAGCAGGGTGGCTTCAGGCAGTGAAATCTTGGTCTGTTAGATAATGTTGGTTGGCTCCAATGAGCAAGCAGTAGCTTGAAAGCAAGGAAGGAGAATCTGTCCTACCATGCCCTCCCTTGCTGTGTTTTTCTCTGTCTCCTCTAAATAGGAGCAAATGTGCCTGGTATGGCAGAACCCTGCACAGATGATCTCCCTATCAGGTGAATATTTATCCCTTTCCTACTTTCTACACACAGAATCATAGAATGGTTTGGGTTGGATGGGACCTTAAAGATCACGTAATTCCAACCCCCGCTGCAATGGACAAGGACACCTTCCCCTCGATCATGTTGCTCAAAGCCTTGTCCAACCTGGCCTTGAACATTTCCAGGGATGGAGCATCCACAACTTCTCTGGGCGACCTGTTCCAGTGCCACGTTGTTATTCAGTTACTCACACACCCCAAACACCTCCATCCCGCTGTTCTCACAGGTGGGAGGTACTCGCAGCTCTGGGGAAAATACACCAATGCTGAAATGTCAAACGCTTCAAGATATGGGAGCCAGCAGTAGGATGCTTTGCAAACTACCATTTCTTTGGAGGAACAAAACATCGATTCACTGCACAGCAGTTTGTGAGATGGCATCCTACAGACTTAAACCATACTATCAGTTTTCCTTAGGGGGAAGAAGTCCCACCGTCCCACCATCCAACCAGAAATAGGAGAGTGCTGTGCCATTTTCTTCCTTGCTGCAGCTTGCACCAGAGATCCTGGCGGTTAGCTTGCTCCCTAACCTGGGAGGTGGAGGGGAGCTGCGAGTTGATTAGGGCAAGCAGAGCTGCCAGCGGGGAAGAAACTCAATGGTTAAAACCCAGGAAGCCTCAAGGGGAACCCTGCACATGCCCACGAGCTCTTGTACTGTTAGTAAGCTGTCATAAACAAGAAGTGTAGCATCTTTGGAGGCTGAGTGGCCTCGAAGGAATTTGGGAGATAAACTTGCACTGCACGGGAAGAAGGGGCAGCCTGGTGGAGGGTGAA